GGACTCTTCCCGCGGCCTGCTGCTGCTGGCCGCGGCGCTGATGGTGCAGAGCGCTCAGCTCGGCGGCTCCCGGGCCAAACTCAACTCCATCAAGGCGTCTTTGGGCGGGGAGACGCCGGCCCAGCCAGCCAATCGATCTGCCGGCATGTACCAAGGACTGGCTTTCGGCGGCAGTAAGAAGGGCAAAAACCTGGGGCAGGTAGGAACCCCCCCAAACGCACTCCTCAGCCAGGAGAGGTAGGGACCCGGCGCTTCGAGCGCACGGTTGGCCGCTGCGCCCCGTCACTTGCCGAGCGCCGCTCCAGGTGCGGCGCGCTCCGGGTCGGGGTCTGCACGGCTGCTGGTCCCCCAGTGCTGGGTGGGCGGGTGGGTTTCGGTCTCATCTTCGCTTTGGGACGAGGGCGCTTTGGGACGAGGGCGCGCGTTGCGATCTGGCGCGCCGCGGTGGGGAAGAGGCCAGGGCGCTCCTTCGCTTCCACGCGGCGACATCGATGTAGCGCGAAGGACCGCTCGCGCGCGCCCTGTCCCGTCCAGCACCGCTGCTTTACGTGTACAAGGTCACTCGTTTAACCTTTACCGCTCTGCGCTGGGCGTTGTTGCCTTGCCATTCTGCAGATGGAGTCGTCGAGGCCAGCAGAGGTTTAGAGGTGCGCCCTTCGCGCAGGACAGAGCGCCTGTCCGCGTGGACCGGCCGCAGCCAGGTCCTGGGGCTCAACGATTCCGTCTGCAATCTCGGGGATCCTGCTCCCTTTCAGGTTTTCTCTCTCAACCATTTCCTCCTGTGGCTCGCGGTCACAGGAAACACCGCGTATGTGTCACTCAAGTAGTCCTGCGAATAAATCACCAGGAGGAAGCAGAATGATGAGGTGACAATCTCAGTGTCGCAGGCGCCTGGATGTAGCGAGGTCACCCAAGGCGTTTTTGCTAGAGGGAACTTTCCTCGGGCCCCGCGTCTGTGTCACACCGACCAACTGATTGACAGTCACGTGCAAGCAGTTAGACAGGCGCAGAGACACGAACTCAGCACACTTGGTACCAGCTGCGGCCAGCGCGCAGCGGCCAGGAGAGGGGGCTCTGTGGGTACTGGAAACGACAGCTCCCTCTTCTGCTCCTTTTGTGGAAAGCCCAAACCGAAAGCCCAGTTTGCCATACAGCAGAAGTGTCAGCCCGCAGGGGCCCAGGCCCACGGACCTGTTTTCTCTGCTTCCCGGGAAGGGCCGGCTACTGCGCCTCTGCAAGCGCTCCCGCCCGCCGCCGTGTTGTCAGCGTGGGTAGCAGGCAGGGGCGGACAGCAGGGGCAGTCCTGGACCGACTGGGAAGAACACAGCCCAACTTGGTCCCCTACTGCCCTCTCACGGGAGAGGCACCGTTTTGCTAGTTCTGTACGTCCAGAAATCTTCCGGGCTCTGAAATGCCAAGCATTTCAGCTCTCCTCTCCCACTGTTCCAAAGACTGCAGTCGCAGGAGTTTTTTCTTAAGGTCTCAAGGAACGTAAGGAACGGCATCCATAAACATGCAGGGTGCCCATGTACACACAGCGCTGCGCACCCTGAACGTGTGCTCCGACCTCGGCGCTGACGTGGTCGCCCCTCATTCCCTCCCTCTCCCAGGGACACACTGGCATTTTGACTAGCAGGGCACCTAGGAGTCTCCACCGAGTCCTTAATGAAAGAGGGCCAGGGTGAGAACAGGCTCCAACCAGATCACACGGTTTCTCTTACTACAGACTTCAAAATCTATCAGTTTAAGAGCCCTATAAGTAGCTCCACCAAGGACAGAGGGAAGGACCCAGTACCTTGAAGTTTCTTTCGATTTTATTTCATGAGTTATCTGGGAGTTTCTATAAAGGGTTTTTCTTTCCGTCACTCCACTGGGTCCCACCACCTAACGCCCCTGTGTCAGTCTATCAGTTATTGGACTCTGTCGCTAGCCACAGCCTAGTGGAGGACACCCAGGCACGTGTCCCCAAACCTAGCTCATCCCTTCTGTTTTGTTCTTTTATCTGTGTGTCGATAGGCATGGACTATGTGCGTTGGCTTCACTAGCCCATATGAACTTCTGCTTGGTCATGCTAAGAGGGTGTGCAAGTCTACTAGCGTCCCCTCAAATTGAGAATTTATTTGTTTTATGAGTTGAATTTCTGCTATGCTCCTTATAACTTCGTAGCTCCTAAGATTAGAATTCTTAGATTCTATGGAATCTATTTCATCATAGTTACTTAACTGTAATACCAGATCCTCAAGGCGGGACATTCGGTTTCTGAGAAAATCGTGATGTACCGGAGATGACGGTAAGACGAAGCCCAGCATGGGGTGGCTGTCAGGACGGTTAGTTGGTGGACAGAGGGTTGACTGGAACATTCTGCCTGTGGCTTGTTTAGCGGATGCTCTGAAACGCGTAGTGTTATGCAGAAAGGAACAGAAATGTCTTTCACCTTAGAAGTAGAACGGTCTTAGGATTCTTATTTTCAAACACAAATAGAAACTGAGAAAATTTCAAGAGGGAAAACCGTCGCTACGTTTTATAGAGAAAAAGTCTGTCATTGACAGAGCTGGGCTGAGTTTTTATCCCCCCAATAGCAAAATGCAATGGAGAAGACTGGGAGCAATGGGCCAGCTGTTTGAACCAGCTGGTTCTCCGTGGCCAAGTTCAGTCCCCCCTTCCCTTTCTCTTTGATTGATGGACGATGAAGTGCCTGCCTTTCGGGGATCTGGGAACAAGGGACTGTCAGAGGCAACTTCAAGTGCACAGATTCGAAACATAGAGTTTTGTCTTCTTTTTCCTAAATGAAAACCAAATCATGGCCTATTTTAATTTTTCAGAACAGAACATTAAAATAAAATTATATTGCCATTGCAGAAGAAATTTTATAATTTATTAATCTACAAAAGTGAAAATGAGACTAAATAAACACAGGGCTCCCTTGACTCACTGCAGCCTAACCCATAGGGGAAGGACCGCTGTTGTGGACAGAAATTCGACAGTGTAAAGGCAAGGAACACTTTATAACATCACTCTTAGAAAACTGTGCCCTTAAATTTTAGGGAAGATTTAGAGGGTCCAGAGAGAAATCGCGCTGTTCAAGATGCTGAAGTTCTTATTTTTAGGTCTGCTTTCAAAGAAATAGCTGTGAGTTATGATGGAACTGAACACAGAAAATTGAGAGTGAGGATATTTAGATTATTGATACAGAATTAGCAAAAACAATTTTACTAAATTATTCTTATTAATGTTAAATTGGACTCTTTGCAGCTATTGCTAATGAATTTTAAACAGTCATGCATGTATGTATGTGTCCGTGGGACAAATTAAGTTGCAGGACTATTACTGATATATACAAATACTTCTGTATGCCAAGGTTGATACGGCTCATTCCAGCAGACTCTATTACAAAAGTCTGAGTCCAGAGGAGTTTTATACAGACTCTTCAATATCCCGAGGATAAAATATGTTTTGATTCAGTTCACATTGTTGGACATCACTTCTGGAGTTTGAGGTATCCACTTTGGCGGGTCACGCTCAAAAGCAATGAAAGTAAACCAAGCAGTTGAGAACTCATTCCACCTTTGCAGTTCGCGGTTTCCCGTGAGCGAGTGAAAACCTTTTGGATGTAGTTTGCAATTGCTTTCTTATTCTCTACTCTTGGCTTTGCCTTTTTGAGATTAGCAGATGAATTTAATTTGGATGCAGTGCATTTTGAAATTCTTTTAAAGATGCTGAGTGACACAGTAACAAGCAACTAATTATGTTCTAAATGTAGATAAGCATCCTGACACATGTGTCTAAAAGGACCTGAAACTGGTTTAAGATAAATTCAGATTCCGTGATTTGCTAATACAACTTGGACACTTGAAGGGCAGTGGTTTGGATGGACTTATACTGTGAGAAAAGAATCCTTGAAATGGATCGAAACAGAAGCTTGAAGGGTGGGTTAGAGAGCACTAATGCGTGTAGATTGCATTTTCTTTAATAAAAATGTGGTATCTATGTAAATGCATGAGCAGTCATGAAAGTGCTCACAGAAATAAACTGTAGCCCTATTTCCTGTAGGTGATCTCTTTGTTTTCTGAAATTATCTGTGACTGTTTTTTTAAAAACCCCAGCCCAACTTTCCTCTTTTAGAGAGCAAGGAGCCTGTCGTCCTCGCTGGACATCGACCGACTCTAACATAATCGGGGACGCAACTCATTCTTAGGGTTAAACTTTCCAAAACATTGAAGATTTTTGAATCAGTTTCCATTGAAGTTCATTCTCTCTCTCTGTAAGTCATAGAGAATTGATCGTTACTATAAGCGGAAGGTTACTTCGTGAATAGCAAGAAAAGTATTTTAATGATAATCTAAGTATGAACATCCATCATTTGGTTTTTGGGCTGGACTGGAGCGTGCAAGAGGACAAGGTTACTTAAATTCTCTCCAGCTGTGACTCTGACCCTGGCGCAGTTCCCTCCTGATACGAACTTGCCCTCTTCCTTCCCAGTGTGTTTCAACTGGACAGTTCTTAAGGCAGATCGATGGGGGATGTCACAGCAGGGTACTTGTATGTTCTGCCCTAGGAGAACATCCACACTTCGCTACAGTCGCTTAAAATACGCAGTAATGTTACGTTTTAGAGGAAATTTGTAATGCTTAATATATTTGCCATTTCAGACTCAGTATTTTGTGGGTGTGTGTGCTTTGGTATTGCAGCAACATCAAAATGAATTGCAAGTGTCTTTCTGCCTGACAGTCTGCTCAAGTTGCTTTGCATTCGCCCATAACGAGGAGCTAAACCTGCTTCTAGTTGTTTATCTGGCCATAGAAGAGATTGATGTGACATGCATGTCTACCCGAGCCTCTTACAAACTCGTTTTTATTTGTTTGTTTGTTTTGTTTTGTTTTGTTTAATGGGAAGGAAAAATCAAAAGGAAATGAAAAATCAATAGATTGATTTTTTTAAAATGGTATAACATTGCTTTACGATTACATAGAAAGATTAAATATGAACTGCATTTAAAGATTGGTTTTACGATTTAAGGTAAGCAGGGGTCAATTTTCTCTTCCTTCTCTCTACACTCTTGCCAGGAACCAAAGCCGAAGGACGCATTTTTCTCTAATTGTTGTTTTTGTTAGCACAAATATAAACCATCCTCTCAGAGAGCTTAATTGATATAAAATTTGGGAGGGTTTGTTGAGTTTTTTTTTTTTTTTTGGATAGAAA